GACCCTTCCTCAGCGGCGCCCCCCCCCCCCCGACCAGCCCCTGCAGCCAAGCATGTAGCTAGGGGCATGTTGGCAGCTGGTGCCACCAGGCATTGGGGCTGGGCATGCCCCACGCCAGCCCCGTCACGCTCCTCTGCCACCAGGTACTTCGCGCTGTGCTTCCACCTGCTGATGCTGACCATGGTGGAGGGCTTCGGCGGGCCGGCGGCCGTGCTGCGGGCGCTGAAGGACACGCCGATGGTGATCAGCACCGGGCCCTGCTGCTGCTGCTGCCCCTGCTGCCCCCGCATCACCATGACCAAGTACGCGGCCCACGAGCCAGGGCAAGACGGGCCCATGCTCCGAGCCAGTCAATGGCAGCTCTGATGCTGGGAGCCGGTCCCGCAGACCTGGTGGCTGCGCGGAGGCGAATGGCCTGTGCTGGTCTCGGCCCGCGTCTGGCTTGGCAGGGGCTGCTTCTCGCGTTTTTGCAATGCGGTCTGAAAGGCTCTGGCATGCGGGCTCTCCATGGGCATCTCTCTTTCCCCGTCACAGGAGGAAACTGAGGCTCCTGCTCCTGGGCTCTTTCCAGTATGCCTTCCTCAAGATAGCCGGTGTCTTCGTGGGGCTGGCGCTGGCAGCCGACGGGAACTACGACCCGTCTGACGTGAGTGCCGCCGGCGGCATAAGCGCACGGGGTCCGGAGGCATCCAGTGCGATGGGGCTGTGGTAGCATCTCGCTCCTCTGGTGCCCGCAGCTCCGTGCAGGGGGGTTCAGGGGCAAGCTAGCTTCACCGGGGGGTTCCCCTGGTTGCTGAGCCACTGCCTCTCCCTCCCTCCTGGGCAGATCTCGGCGCAGAGTGTGTCCCTCTGGATCAACACCTTCCTGGGCGTCTCCACCATCTTTGGGCTGTGGGCGCTGGGCATCCTCTTCCGGCAGGCGAGGCTGCACTTGAAGGAGCAGAACATGGGGGCCAAGTTCGCCTGCTTCCAGGTACCGGTGACGGTGGGGCGCCGTGCTCCCGGCGGCATGCTCTGCACCCCTTGGCATGGTCCGGCTGCCTTTTACCCTCCTCCTCCCTTATCTACGGTGGTGACTCTTAGATTACCTTTCTCCCCATGAGCTGGCTGTCTGTCCACCTCAAACCACTCCCCAAAGCTATCTCTGCATCTTGAGGAGCACAGAGCTGGAACGGGCTACAGGCCGGTGGCATTGCTAAGGGAGATGCTGTTTGCCTCTCCATGCCCCTGCCACTTACCCCATGGGTACGCCGGGCAGACACAACACAGCTGCCGAGGGCAAGTGCCTTCAGGGGCATGGGGAGTTGGCTGCATGGAGGATGCACAGAAATGGGGAAGAAACAGGTCTCAAGGGAGGAGTTGGGTGTGATCCAGGTCAAAGGCTGCAGCCCCAGCAGGGTCCCGACCCAGCGTGGCAGCGTGGCCGGAGCCCCCGGAGTGGTCCTGCTACGCATTTAATTTAAGGAGCGATGGAAACCAGCCACAAAAATGGTTCACGTTTTCGTGCATCGTCTTTGTGGCTGGTTTCCAACCAATCCCCTGAGCGCGCGGCCGGGTTACCGTTTGGGATGTGATGAATAGACTAATTGTGCCTCAAGTGTAATGTCTGCCGGGGGCCAAAGAGGCTAAGGTGGAGTGACACGAACCTGAGCAGCTACCCCAGTACCGCCACCACGAGTCAGTCACGTCCAACTGGTCTAATAGCGCCATGCCTCTGCTGGCCCACGGGCACCATCCCTGGGGAACGCAGCCGAAGAAGCGGAGAGGGTGGACTGGGGTTCGCCCCATCTTCCCAAGGGGTGCGAATGGCTTTCTCCTGCACTGAGCAACAACCCCCCCCAGCCTGCCGCTAACTGCTCCCGACTTTCTCATGGCAGGTACTGCTCATCCTGACCGCGCTGCAGCCCTCCATCTTCAGCATCTTGGCCAATGGCGGCCAGATCGCCTGCGCCCCGCCGTTCTCCTCCAAGGCCAGATCCCAGCGTGAGTAGGGGGCAGGACCAGGCAGAGCGGGAAACCCAGCTGCTTGCAAGGGAGCAAATGTCTGGTGCTCCAAGCACCTCCCTAGCCCCGTGAAGGAGAGTTTTATCCCCCCCCCAAACTATTGCCTGGCTGAGACATGCCATTGACCCCTTCTTTTAAACCTTTGCTTCGCAGATATGAACATGCAGTTGCTGGTCCTGCAGACCTTCCTCATGACGGTGCTGACGCGGATGTACTACCGAAAGAGGGATGACAAGCCGGGCTACGAGCCTTTCGGCCCCGTGGAGGCGGACGGCAACATTAAAGTCTAAGCCAGATGTGAACGTGAACTTGTGAAAGGCAGGAGAGCCTATGGCACGAGGTGCGAATGCCCCCTCTGCAGGGTCCCTGCGACCCACGGCCTATTTCCCCCCCGAACTGGCCTGAAGCCCCCATGGGAGGGGGATGCAGAGTCTGTGCCGATACAGAAGCACCTGAAACCCGGAGGGCTTGGACCAAAGCTCTTCTGGTCTCAGCTGGGGCTTTGTATGTAAGGCACTGAGCACAGAATAAAAGGGCTTTGGCACTTCTGCTATGGTCATCGGTGTTGCTTCCTGGAGTCACTTAACGAGCCCCTTGCGGCACAGCTCAGTCATGAGGTCCCACGGGTGCCTCAGCTCCCGTCTGGGGATATTATAAGGCTGTGACCACATGGATTGGTAGCAAGCCAGCGAGGCGGCGCTGACCACGCAGCAGCTGCTCACGTGTGTCCGCTCTGACCCTGCAGTAAGTTAAATGCCAGAATGGAGGAGGGATACATGAAGCAGCAAGGGGTACGTCGCTGTGGTTTAACCTCTGCTTAACGTGGGGTAGGAGCGGACACACTCAACAGCTACCGGTGAGCAGATGAAACGCAGTCGCTCCCCCATCGGCTCCATCCGTCCAGCTCCTTTTACAGTGCACAGGGCAACCCATGCCCTACATGGTTAGTGGGAGGCTGAACAAAACCAGTGCAGGCCCAGTCCAGCCCATTAGGATGCAGCGTTACCAGCTGCCCTGCTGTGAACAGTGAAGACACAAGCATCCACCACGGCCCTGGAATTAGCCACCCAGGGAGCCCCACCTGCTTCAGCAACGTGGGCCTTCCCGGAGGCGACTGGCGAGCTCTCTCAGGCTGCAGTCAGCAGCAAAGCCGAGAAGAAGCGGACCCCCTGGGCTGTAGCAGGTGTTTTCCACTGGCTGTGTTTCAGCACGTGGCACAGAAGGCATGTTCCCTCTGCTTTGTGGAACGTGCCGGCAGTCCGGGACTAAATCCGACCCCCCCGGGACTGCAAGCCCCCGGACAGCAGCAGGAGGGAGGAAACTGGTAAAAAAAATAAAAATAAAAAAAATAAAGTGTCATTAACCCAGTTCTTCGTCAATCCCAGCTTTGCACCTAGGAGGGGCAAGGCTAGGGAAAGCTAGGGCTGACGGGCCCGTGTTAAAGGGTTGCAGAAGACAGCAAAACCGTGAGCACTGAGGAAGCCGAAGGAGGCGTCAGAGGCGGAGGGGTTGGGTAAAATTACTTTGTGTTTATTGGGCTAAACATAAAAGTCAGAAACCAAGTCAAGAACAAGCCAGTGATGCACACATGGAAACCGAGACGGTGAACACTGACTGAGAAGGGGACACCCCCGGCTGCAGAGACGCGACTGGCGAGAGAAGCCGCCCGCCCCTCTCGTGTGGACCCAGCGTGGCAGCAGACCTCAGCTAGGCTGCCACAACCCCTGAGGGTCTCCAGCACTGGGATCCCCAGGCTGTTTGATCCACATCGCCTCCTGGCTCCCCCGTGAGCAGAGGTGAAGTTAAAGAACAACAATCCAGAACTTAAAATGTGGATGCCAACACATCCCTCCATCCCTTTTGTGCATTTTGGAAAATAACCCCCGTAAAACTAAACCAACGAGCGCTCTCCCGGAGAAGAAAACCAAACCGTTGCTCTGACACCTTGCAAGCAGCTGTATTTTGGAGAGCCTGTTCTTTTCACTGGAAAAAGACAAAGCCCAGGACAAACCATAACCCCACCGTGATTAGTTACAAGATTGTTCAGTTCCACGCAGTTCGTTAGACTCCTACGACGACGCATTGCTGGAGACGTTCCCAACAGATGCGGCTTTCGAGGACGTGAGCAGCAGCACTGGGCAATGGGACTGCATGCATCTGAGAAAGCTCTTTATCTGCGCACTGAGCTGAACGAGGGACAAGACGGGCCCAGGGGCCGCGTTCAAGGTGGGCAGTACGTCCAGCGAGGAAGTCTGCACCAACGAGCAGGGGCTGCATCTGGGCTCCCCACAGAACGATCCCCCCTTGTGCGTGTTCCAGATATACCGGGACGGAGAAGGGGACAGTCACCGAGGAGGCAGGAGAAGAACGCACCCTGGAACATAAACCCTACTGACGGGTGCTTGGAGGAACGGGATGGAGCCTCCCAGGGCTTGGGTCTGGGGTCCCTGCAAGAGATTAACGGAGGACAGATGTATTCTGCTTCCTTTCATCCAGCTTCCAGAGCCAGCCTTCTTCTGAAACCCAACCTACATGCCACTGAGTGTCAAAAGATCACAGCCGTAGAGCTGAAGCCATTTCGCCTTCAGTTCAGTTCAACCATCTGCCGTTCCTGCCGTGGCCATCCTTCCTGCCCACCTGAAAACCGTTTGCGAGGGTTTGCTTTCAAAGCTGATGGCCTTGGGCTGCGGATCAGGGCTGGCCCGATGCTGTCCTCTTGTGCTTTTGCAGCAAGGGACTCCCATCTGAATACTGCAGAGGCGTCCGGGAGATGGCTCTGCGTTGCAGGGCGCCAATCTGGAGCCTCCTCCTCCTCTGCCACTCTGTAGTGTTCGGCTAACCAGCCTCGTGTGACGTGCTGTGGAAGAGGCCGTGTGCGGTCAAGGTAGAGCTTGAATGGCGCTGAACAAACTGTACGAGGTAACACAGTGGGAAACCCAGCCTGTCTCTTCTGCAGCTCAGTGCATTGCAGGTTTTGCCACAGCGAGACTGTTGCCTCTGCCCGTCTCTCAGCACCACACGTGAAAGGTGCCAGGCAAACGGTGAGATGATGCTGTTTCAGCACGTGCCACAATAAGCATGGGGAGCTGAGCGTCCATCTCCATGTGCAAAGTGCAAGGGGGGAGCGAGGGGTGTTGGCGACCAATGGCTTTGTTAAATCCAGCTCTGTGCGGATCCTGGGCACACAGGGCCTTGCGGAGGCCGGGCCACTGGTGGGCTGCCTTGGGAGCGGGTCGACATCAGAAACACTCACCAGTAGTGAAAGAATACTGCTGCTCACCCTGTGCCTACGGTGACAGCCAGGCCCTAAGCTGCCCGACCCCCGAATTGTGCGATCAGCTGGCGATATCACCTATGGACTCTAGTGTCTACTAACGGAGCGGGGGGAAATACGTCGGCATTAAACACCCTGTGCTCTTCGGTCACGCAGATACCGAAGAATGAAAAATAACGTGCTTCCTTCCATCTTGTGGCTGGAAACAAAGCGACGGCTCCCCTGCAGCAGCTCAGCACGTGCCCAAGCGCGAAATCCAGCTGGTGTTTCAGGCAGCCAAAAGCTTGCCCTTGCTTCAGTGGAAACACATGGATGAAGGTGCACATGTGCGTGTGTCTGACCCAACACGGTGGGGAGGAACCGTCCATACGAAGCCTTCACAACAGCAGCACGAAGAACAGCTTGACAGATGGAGGAAGGCTAGCCCCTTTGAAGACGGGGATGGTCAGGTTCGACAGAAGCTTCTTTCTGCGGACAACGGCTCTAGTGGCTGTCTGTCATTTCCGTGGACCAGTCACCCCAGATTTGGAGAATGCCCGTCCCTTGGCTCTTGAGACTCTGCCCTGGCCTCATCATCAGCTCCCCAGCACCAGGGCACTCTGCTTAGGGAACTCTTTCTGAATAGGAGATGCTAGGACAAACACCAGCAGAAAAAACACACACACACACACGTAGGAGATTCACAGCTGACGCCGCTCCCGCCAGATGGCTCCCAGTTTAGAGAGAAGCCTGCTGGGACCACGACCTACCTGCCCAAGTCACCCCCATGGGAGCTCGCAGATGGCACCGCTACAGATGCTGCTAAGTAGCAAGGGACATTCAAAGCTCAGCACAGACGTTTATTACGCGCTTGACGGCAACACGTCACGGGACCAGACTGGGCAGCGAGCGGGTTGGGGTCGAGCAATTAAAACCCGAAGAGGAGTGGTTTGCTCTGAGGCTATTTCGGGGCCCCTCCAAAGCAGTCGGGAGGCGACGCACCTGCATTTAAGGTGCAGCTGATTTAACATTGATACGAAGCTGCCGCTGGGAGAAAACGCGCCCTGCACCTCTCTGATGTCAGAGAACGGCCCCTCGCCAGCCCAAGGGCTTTTTTTTTTTTACAGCTGTGGCTTCATCACGCGGGTATGAAAGATGGCTCCCAAATCCCTGCCTCTCCGCATGCGGCAATTTAAACACACAGACACACGAGGGAGGGGGGAAGGCAGAAGCAAACAGCTTGCATCTTCTAGCTGGGCTCACGCGCACACAAGACGACACAGCGGGTGTCCTGGAAGGAAAATTAATGCTCTTCTCACAATGGCGGGGCAGGGGTGAGAAAAAGTTCTTAGCTTGGGATTCAGCAATCCTCCCAGAGACCTGCCTGATTAAACGATCCCCAAAGGCCTTTCCCCCCTGGCTTCTGCAGCCAGCCTTCGAACAGCGAATGCTGCGCTGACTAGGCTCGTGCTATGCTAGAGCGTGCGGCCACGTCTGTCCTGCAGCGTCTTCTAACCTGGCGCTGTCCCCGCACAAGAGGCACCGTGAGAGGGCTCAGACCTCTGTGCCACGCGACTAGGACAGGCTGGGAACCGCAGCTAAGAGAAGCAAGAGCTTTTCTGAGACCTGGGGAGTTCCTGGCGCAGCACAGACATCTCTACACAACTAAAAAAAGAGAGAGAGCATTTCCCCCACACTCCTGCTCCCAGCACCGCCTCCCAGGCTGAGGACCGTGGACAGCCACGACTCAAGGGACTCAGCAGCCAAGCCGGCTGCTTCCCAGGAGGGCAACAGAAGACTGCGGTGGGTCAGAGAAGAGACCCCAGCTCTTCTCCCCATGCCCGCCGCGCCCAGCAGAGGTTAACAGGGGCAAGCCCTAGAGCCAGCCTGTGATTAAAAGAATACCCTTATTTTTTTCTCTTTAAATAAAATCTTTCCCCCTGGAAACCACTGGGACGTAAACAATAAAAAGGGGCGCGGGGAGGTGAGAATGTGCTTCCAGGGCAGCAGCCCTTGCTCAGAGCGGGCGAAGCCCCCACCTGCCATCAGTCCCGCCTGTGCCTATCGCGCTCTTGCTCAGCTGTGAAGCCCCCGTCGGGGTCAGAGTTGGGATCGGACGAGGCGTGACGGGCAGCCAGCCCCCGCCGGCCACTTAATCCTCCTCGTCCTCGCTGATGTCATAGGTAATGGCGGCCTCGTTCCTGGCGCAGTTGGCCGGCGAGGCCGGCAGGGTCTTGGCGGAGAAGGGCCAGCGGAAGGAGGGGGACGGGGACCGGTCGTGCGTCGGGCTGCTGCTGGGGCTCTGCCGGGGGCTGATGGCCTGCAGCATCCGGCCCTTGCCTTCCTTCAGCATGTGTTTCTGGGGAGAGGAGGCACACAGGAGCAAGGTTACAGACGCGGGTCGGGGGTGTCATGCCACGAGAGACAGCTCGTGCGCCACGCTGGGCGCTGCCCTGTCCCACCACAATGTCAGGCTGCAGTAGGAAGTCTATGCAAGACCCTCAGTGGAGCTGTGGGCCTGAGGACGTTTTATACAGGTTCAGCTCCTTTGAAGCAGACTGCTCCTGGCAGGCACTGGTGGCGTGCGGCTGGACCCCTATGGCGCCAGGTACCTGTACATAAAAATCTCGCCTCTAGGCCATCAGTTCAAGCCCACTCGGGGACAGCAGTGATGGGAAGTTACCACAAGAACTGGAGCCTTAGTAGTCATGTCCCCAGCGTCCAGGGATCTGCAAGCGTCCCCATTAAAGGTGGGTGCTGGGCATAACTGAGGACAGAGACCTACACCATACCTGCGCTGGGTTAACTGTAGGTCACTGCTCTGCCAGGCTGTGGTCTGGGAAGCACTATGACCAGCCAGAAAGCCATCTGCAATTCCAACCCCTCCCCTCCCCTTCCCCCCATCCTTATTACCAGTGCTCCTTCAGGGCCAAACATCTCCAGGAAGTTGCCAATGAACTCCCGGGACTTCTCCTCCCATTTCTGAATGAGGTCGATGCTCTTCTCCTCCACCTTCTGCACAAACTCCTTGGATTTCTCCTCCACGTCCTTCACCCGCTTCTTCACCTTGTCCACGCGCTCCTGCAGGTGGTACCTCTTCTCCTGCGGACGCAAGCAGGGGCATTAGGAAAATTAGCAATCACGTTTCCCCACACACCATTCTGCAAGGGAACTGTCACTCGGACCTAGAGCGCCTGGGTTTGCTCAACAGTGGCTCCTGGATCTCAGCCTTTCCTCCTCTTCACCTGGTTCCTTCCTTACCCTACAGGGCAGCTGCAGAGTAAGTCTGAAAGACTCTGGAAACGCCAGTCCCAGAGACAGCAGAGGAGACCTGCAGAGCAGTTCAGAGTCTAAGGTAAATCAAGGTCCGTGAGCAACAAATGAGGAGGAAAATACAGACTAGGTGACATACCAATCAGAATGTACCGCCGATGGTATCTGCAGGAAGGGGCAAACAGAACTACTTTGGCACCTGATCTGTTTTAGAGATCTCCTCTGGGGATCATAGGGATGGGCATAAGCCTGCTTGCTGGACGCTCTTTGCAGGCAGACAAGGGGAGATTATAACGAGGAGAGAGACTCTGACAATGGCACCATAAGCCGCCAGCTCTGTGTTTCTACATCAGATTGTCTCCATATACGAGGTGGCGCCAGAGGGGTCCCAGCCACTGGAATGGAAACACACAACCTACCACTTGAACGCCCAGCCCTGCTGGTTGATAGAGAAGTTAGTCAGTACAGACTCAGCCTCGCCCACCCCTTCAGAGCCGGGCTGGTCCCGCAGGACTAAGGGGGAATGGTTGTGACAGAAGAAGCAAGCAGATCCTGCCCCCGCCCTGGGGAATAACACACTGCTGGTTTCCCTTGTCAGGACTGAACCGGGTGAAAGCCATGTGCTGGCAACAACAAAAGAGCCCCCTGGGAGGTGCTTCCCTTCCCTCACAGCTCCAGGGGACTCAACACCCGCACAGCCCCCAGCTGGGAATAAACAGACGAAGCTTCAATCAAATGTGCAAGCTCCGTCTCCCCTGGCACAGGCAGGAAGCCAGTGCCTGTTTTATGCAGCCACATTTCTCAGGGAATTAAAGCAGTGCCGTGACCTCAGTTATTTCCACTGCTCTCCTTATCCAGAAGCTCTCTCCCCCCTATGCTGACTTTCCAAGGGGACAAAATCGGAGCAGGTGTTACAGCATTAAAAAACCCACAAGGGCCCTGGAGAAGATGGACTCTTTAGCTTGGTGGAGTTACTGTAGTTCCCCTGGACCGCAACAGTGCCTGCAGGGCTCGGCAGGATATGGCTCCCACTAAGCTCCATGCTACTCAAAGGCGCAGCCAGACACAGCCTTTGATCTGGGGCAGCTCGTGGTGCAACGTGCCCCGACTCACATTGATAAAGCTGACGTTGAGCTCCTTGGCCGTGTAGCCCCTCTGCAGGTTCCGCCGGGCGTAGACGTCATAGTCCCGCACGATACGGGTGATGATATCCGACGTGGAGATCCCCTCCGTCCTTTGGGTGGGAGCAAACATGCCTGTGCCAGGGAGACAGAAACCGGGACAGCCATGACAGACTGCTGCAGCATTTCACAGACTCTCACTTCTATCACCCTCTTTAACTGCTCATTTTCCAGTTGGCCTTTTACTTGATACCCATCCCCAAGCCTGGGATTCAAACTTCTAGGAGGCAACTGAAGAGACAGAGCGGGCCTCAGACAGTCGCAAAAATGAGCAAAGGATGGGAAAATCTGCCTCAGAGAAAGGCTCCAGGGCTCAAGCTATTTCACCTCATCCAAGAGATGGGTCATGGCATCTGTGTGCATGCGTATGAAATCTGGTTGCAGTTTGTCGGCACCTATATGGGGAAGAAAGCTTTGATCACGGGTTGTTGGACTTTTGGCTGCTAGGTGCAAATACCACATCTCTCATACCACATGCCCCAGAATACAACATTCACCTTGTTTTTGAAGGGCAGAATGAAGGAAAGAAAATATTTTTCCACAGTTAAGGCTGCATGGAGCAGGGACAGAGCCGAATCTTCAGCTGATACACCCTCCCTTTTTTTTGCTTAACTAGAGCTGAAACCCTAGCTGCTGAAGACTGGTCTCCATAGATGGACCTATGATTTTGAAAAAACCTAAAAGAATCTCCAAGGCTGAAATAAGAGAGAGAGACCAGAAGCAGCTGGAGGCAGGAATGGACTCAGGGCTGTCCTAGGGACTCTGCTATGCTGCAGGGATGACTGGATGACCACCAATGGCCCCTTCTGGATTTTAAGGCTATGGAAATCAGCTCAGCAATAGCCCTGGGCCCCACTCCAAAACTGCCCTGGCAGACCCCTCCTTCTGCAGAGTTCCACTAGGTCTGTGGTGCTCTACAACAGCATGAGGATCGGTCTAAGATAGGGCCATGGTCACAGACTACAAGCAGAAGGTGACTTTTCACTGGCTTTCTCCTACTTGGGGAAGGGGACTCGCATATGCATGCAGGTTCTCCCTTTATGGTGTTGTTAAGGCCAGTGTCTTCAGACAGCCTTCAATGATCTGGCAGAAATCTGCCCGCAACACTGCAGGACCACGCATGCCTACGTAAGGATCCATCTGGCTGCAGCTAACGCTCTGTGCTCCTATTTGATTTGGCTTGAAACGTGAAAAATTACTTCTGAAAAAAAAAAAAAAAAAAAAAAAAGGTTCCCCTGCTTAACGGGCAGCGAGCCAGCCACTGGGCCTGTGCGTGTGGCAAGTAGCGTGCCTAGAGAGGGATCTCGGATTCTACACCTCTCAAAACAGTGGTTATTTAGTATCAGGCTGATTGCAAAGATGGGCTCTGAATATGAAGGCACTTTTGTACCAAGGATGGGAATCAGGGAAGGGGAACTTTCAGTTCGAAGGGCATTTTGTGCGGGGCTGTTGCACTTCGCTCGGTTCTCTGTGCTGCTATCAGAGATGTCTTTTAATGGAGGCTGCTCCCGCACTGACCTCATGGATGCTGGTCTGTTAAGGGACAAAGGACAACAGACTGAACGTAAGAGGAAAGCACTTTTGTCTGAGCTCAAATGAACACTGGTCACTGTGGCAGAGTGAGAAGGTCCCACAATGCAAGAGGGAAAAGTTCCATTTAAACTCAACAGGTACAAAGACCCTCCTTTTGACTGTCCTCAACCAAGAGATGAGGAGGACCGGTTATCTCTAGACCGTGGCACAATGGAAAAGACCCACGCATACAACAACGGGCAGCTCATTTTGTTCTCAGCTGAACAGTAGAACCTAGATTTTTTGTACCCGGGTTGTTCGCAAACTGCTTCATTTGACAAATTAAGGATTTGACAAAACAGTTCCAGATGGGATGTTGCTGCAGCTACATCTACCCCAGCTAGTTTGCAAACCCCCAAGTTCATGGCAAGGGCCAGGAACCTGCCCTACTGAAGAATCCAGGTCCTACTAAATCTCAGGCATGCAGACTTTACCCATGGGATACGGTAAGTGCAGCATTTCAGGGCTGGTCAGAAGAGTGCTGGGCTGTAGCCAGGGAGAGCAAAGGCTTCTGGTTTCTCAGTCTGTCACTGCATGGGCTTCCTTCCCACTGTCCTGGAAAGGAGCACCTGGCGTGGCCCTAGCAATGGGAACAGTGGAGGAGCCTAGGGAGAGGTGACCTCAGCCATCCATGCCATGCTTGGCAGTAGTGAGCACTGGTTATAGTAGTGCTTTCCAGGAGCAGGTGCCAACAGTGACAGGTCACAGGTGTGTCTTAGGGCTCACCTGCATCTTTGATGTGCTTGTAGACATCGTCGCTGCCAGCAGAGGAATACGGGATGTCATCATGGGCAACAAAATCGATCTGGAAGTTAGAAAGGGGAGAAAAACGTTGGGGTGAACTCTCCCAGACCCCATGAGAAACTGTTTGTTTGTAGGGAAAAGCAATGGTCAGGATGTTAGTGCATGTTGCCGGAGCACAGGTAGGTGTGTTCCAAAACAGGGATCTGCAAAGGGCTTTCCTAAAGAGTGAGTTTAGCCCTTGACAGCCCAGTCCTCCTGACTGATCCTATTGCAGGCTGAGAGTCAGAGAGAAAGGAACCCGGAGCCAGGAAATGCGTCAGAGACGCTGGCATGGAGAGCGGGTTGGCCCAGACAGGGCCCGTTGCCGGCAGGGAGCCTAGTGTGGCTGGCTAAAAATCCTTGTGGGTGCTGGGCCCATGTCAGCATGCAGCCCGAGGCAGGATGGTGAACTGCCTTCATCTCCATCTGCATTAACACATGCAATAAAAATCACCCGCCCCCTTTTAAGTCCACCTGAGGCTTTTATCCCTTCAGACCCAGGAATTTTTAAATCACCCTGAGACTTTTGTCCCTCCAGACCCAGAATCTCGCTGCTGTTTGCTTTACAGTCACCTGCTGCTACCTCAGGTGACCCTTTGTTCCTGCCCAACGACACAGCAGAGCCCAGGACAGATTAGCTCTATCTGTGACCTTCAGGCTTCTCACCTCCTTGCCAAGCCAGTGCCCAGATGGCAGCAGCACCTGCCATTCCAGGCTAATTCTGGTTGTGTTCCTAACTGCTTCAGAAATAAACATGCCTTGGATCCGACACAGGATTTTAAATGGAAAAGGGCTGCTTTGGGAACAATGCTCCCAGGGAGGTGCGACAGCCCCCCTGCCCCAAGCCCTGCCCGCAGCCAGCTGGCACCTAGTCCCAACAAAGCTTGTGGCTACTGCAGGCTGTGCCTTACCCTGTGCTCTTTCAGGAACTCAGGGGTGAGTGTCCACGGCGCGTTCCTCACCACCTCGTCCACGTAGCGGCAGTGCTGTACCGCATCGTACCGCTCATTCTCGTTCATCACCGTGAAGCCCTTGAAGTTGTGGGTCAGCTCGTCACTGCACACTGCAGAGAACGGCGCGTTGCCGGGAAGGTTAGCTAAACACATTGCCCTCATCCCAGAGCCCAATGCCTGCCTCTCTGCACCCTGAGACAGCTGGTGCTTGCATCCCACCAGGCACAGCTGGCACAGCCTGAGCGGCACTGGAGGCAATGGTGTATCAGGAGGCCCATCCAGGTCTCCTCTCCAAACAACACAGCATTGGTGTGGGGAGGAGGGATGGTTGGAGGGGATAGAAGAGAGAAAGGGGGCAAAGGGGCTTCTCCAACCAATTCCACTGGCTCACTGGGAGGAACTGGCCCTCTAACTCACTAGGTTCTCTATGCCAAACCCTCAGAAGAGTCTGGTGGTGATCAATACACAAGGCTAAAAATAAAGCTAACAACCAAGGAGCTGGTCTCACTGGCAGGTTGATCCAACTGTGCCAAAATAAACCAACCTCTCATTGTAAGTTCTGCACACAGTTCTGAGAAGGAAGGAGTTCTCTTCAGTAGAGATGCACTGATATATTGGTTGCATATCGGATCGGCACCGATAAAAGGGAAATTTACATTATTTGCTACTGGCTTTTTTGGCCACTGGAGCCAATAATGCTCTCTGATAAATATAATTAATTATGCCTTCTGACCGGGGCCCCCAGACACCTGGTTTCCCTCTCCCCCGCGGGGCCAGGGCCCCTAGATGCTTGGGTTCCCTTAGGAAACGGCAGGTTTCCCCTTGCAGGCAGGCAGCATTCTAGCCTACGAGGGGTCCTGCTTGGGGTTGCTGGGAGCGAGACGCAGAGGGCACCGTGTTCATGTGCACAGCCTCACGCATGCGGGCGGCCAAGAAAACAGCCAGGCAGCATGGAGACCGGTTCCCTGCAGGTAAGTCTATAAGATGGGAAGGGGTGTGGGGGAGGAAAGGGGTGTGTGTGTGTGGGGGGTGGGGCAGATTGAGGCCCCCATGATGAGGGAGGGAGTGGGCAAGGGGCAGGGGCTGGAGGTGCTGCCCAGCCAGGGTGGTGCTTGGGACCTGGGGCCAGGGCAGGGAGTGGGACAGAGCCACGGGTGGCTTGCCCACAGGGTACAGGGGGGCGTTATATAAACCAAAAAAGAAAAAGGTTTATTTATGTCAGTACATTTTAAAGTACTGGTATAAATAAACCTTTTTTTTTTGTTTGACGTGCTCCAGCAGCCTCCAGCGTCACATGTAACCAAATCAGTTATCAGATCAGTATTGGCTGATACGGCTGGTTAATAATTGGCTATCGGTATTAGCCAAGAAAATCTTTATTGGTGCACTCCTACTCTTGAGTGATCAGATCCCGAAGTAACCCACATATTGCCACCCCCCAGCCACAAACCAGCTACTTGCACACCTATTAAACATCCCTCTGATCTCATCGGTCCCCAGCAGCCCCTCAACGGAGCTGCATCCAGCATTCTGCTAGGATTCAAGTCAATGCAGATTTCAAACCCAAATGACAAATGCTTCACTTCTTGGGATGAACAGGCAACTTTTGAAACATGTGGGCGTGCAATCTGCCAGACAGCAAGGTGGCTTAACTGTGGTCTGCTTTATGTATCTGAGTAATTATTCTATAGATGCCACTTTAATATATTCTGTGGATTTTAAGCCCACGTACACAGTCATTTCCTGCCATCGATTATAGCAAAAAAAACAAAACAAAAGAAAAGAAAAGTGTAAGAACGCTATGGTAAGGGCAGCCCTCGACTGACACCAAAAAAATGGAAAAGAAACCCCCTGAACAAAGAGTCCTGTAGGATGGTTGCTAAGATTCGTATGGGTGTCTTCAGCTTCAAGAAGCTGCTACGTGGTTCAAAAGATGAGCCAGTGGTCTTACCAGCTCAGATGTGCTTGTGCTGAAGGACCAACAGGCTGACTTGAGGTTACTTCTAGATGGAAAAACTTAAGAGGCTGTTGCATTCCTGGCC